ATCCGGAGAGTTTTGAAAAAATTTCAAACAGCTCATTATTTATCAACCAATAAGGGATAGAACTTTAATGCTATGACAAACACTTTCCTTTCCCGTTTCTCTCAACTTGGGCGGAATTACATTGCGTGGGAGCTAAATAGCATGAAGTGGGTACCGAGCATGCGGGGGCGTACGCAAAATCCAAGCTGAACTTCCATGTAAGAGACCGATTGATCTCCTGCTACAGATAGTTTTGAAGCGTGTTTTATCCAGCATCGGTGACGGTACCTCATTCCCGATTCGACCTCATAGAGTAGCCAAAACAGTGAAGATGAATCAGAAGCGCTGGGAGTCGTGTGCGAGTAGATTTTTCAGGTAACGTCAACTCATAGCAACAATGGAGAATAACACCAGCCAGCATTAGCACTCATCTACAACCATTTCTCTTCCTTATAGCACTCAATATATGACTTTCTGTTGAGGCATCGCTTGCTATACTTCTTCCAACTAAAAGTGTGAAGTTTTCTCTAAACTTTCGGACATCCTAATATGTGGTAAGAATAGAGTTCTTTTGGGGAGGCACGAAAAGGCAAAACCAGCTCAAATACTTGGATTCAGACTTCACAGGTGAGCACAGTACCGGATGCTCTAACGAGTTTGATTGGGAGCTCAATGGATCAGCTTATTCATGCCCCAGTGTCGAAAGCTCCCGCTGCTTTGACAATAGTCAAGAGAGAATAGAAAATCGAGCACAGTTCCTTGTGGAGCAGAAAATTATCCGTACAGAAAGAACGAACACATTTTTTTCGGACAAAATTCGGTGTAAGAGAAAAAAGATGCCACCTTTTATAGGCCAACCCAATTCATACAATTTTCACTCTCAATCAGACAGTCTTCAGAATGAGTCGGACACTTGCACGATCAAATCGGATACACACCCTGCCCTAGCACCCCCGCGCGCTCCTCAGCGCGGTCATGGTTCCCCAAGACATTTTATGAATTTTGCTCCTTTGATTTTTTTCTTCTTCGCTATTTTGCATACACACCTTCAACTGAAAATCGGTACTGATACAGATAGGACTCCGCTTTTTAAAAGAAGCCACCGCAAGTTTTGCATTGTTTTGCATTGTTATAAATTTTTCATGCCTTCTTTTCATATCTTTTCGTCACGAAATGAAGTTGCTCTCAAAGATATGCATCTATAGACTGGCACACTGAGCCTCGCTCTCTGACCACGCCCACCTTTGGGTATTTGTGAATTTTCCATCTTGTCCTCGAAATTTCTGCTGTTTCGAGAGGAACAAGAAGCCCCACCCATTCTTAGAAGCCCACCCGCTTCACAGAAGCCCCGCCCACTTGCGAGAAATGCTTCAGGTCGACAAGCTAGAGTCTGATATGGCAGGTTATGGTCTCCCTCATCACCTAGAATGGAAAACCAGCTAAATTTGTTCCATGTGACGGCGGAGACCATAACCCGCCAGATCTGACTCTTGCCTGCCAGACTGGGTCTGCAAACGTGGGCGGAGCTCCTGCGAAGTGGGCGGAGTCCATACCAGGGGACGGGTTGTAACAGCGCTGAAAAGAAGAGAAAGCTGAAGGGAAAATTTAAAGTTCGCACGTAGACGCAGGAAAGTCGCGATGTCACGTAAAAAGTGGTTTCAACTGAGACAAAGAGGTATCTCTGCTGCTTTGCCCTCATCAGCTAACATTGCAGAGCGAAATGCAGGATCTGTTTTGCCACATATGATGAATACATATGAGGAATAGCAGAAAATCGAACTACAAGAGGAAGGTACTTCAGGAGAAGCAGACAATTTACTATTAAGACGGAGCCAAGGACTCGAACTATTCGTCAATTTTCTCTGGTATAGGGCGCATTTGATCGCAGAAACGCATGTGACAACGCGCGAGGAAAATTTCTAGGAACAGCAGCTGCTTCCTCGCCTTTCCTTCATAACTCAAAATCCTGACTGGTTTTCTCAAACATTTTCACTTTGGTCAAACTTATTAAACATACAAGGACTGAACGAGAAAACATGCAATGGCCAAACAAGAAATAAAAATCGATTTCTCCGCACTTGCCTTCGAGGTGAAGATACAGGATCACCTCTATTGTAGAAAATATGATACGTTTCGGCTCACATGATTCTTCCGAATTGTTTCGCTTTTTCTGCAACTCTTCAAGTTCGCGTTTGATCTCACTGAATACACTGCTTCGCTCCACCAGTTCCTCATATGTTCCTCGGTCAACGATCTTCCCGCCTGTTGAAAGAGATTATGAAGAGATTTTACTAACTCAAAAAAGAAATAAAACGGTAAGGAAATGAGAGGGCTACTAACAGTTAGTACTTGATCGCCGTGACGAACATCTTCTCACTATCGAACCGGCTCGGATGAGCACATTCTCACCACACGGTAGCCCTCAAGCGATTCGAAATAGCTGATGGGAGCACCAAATCTTGTATATGCTTCCAGAAACTTTCTTTGCTTAAGTTGGCCTTAGAAACACCCCACGCGAATGCTAAATGGGCAGGCCGAGTTACAGAAGCGCCTTAAGGTCAGTAGTCGTCGTTATTGATGAAGGAATAGGAAAGAGTATTATTTATTGTACCGTTTTCATTACACCTTCAACAAAGCTAGTGCGGAACTGGAACAACATTCTCTATCGACGAATCTCAATCAGGTGACATCATGGAGGGTGAAGGAATCGTTCTCACTGAAGATCCCTCGCTCAGGTGCCCAAACCGGAATAGGCAGTTACAAAGTACCTCTTACTTGAACATGCTGTTATGAAACAAATGTCATAGTAACTGGCACCATGACTCCATCAGTAGTGTTTTAGAGTGCCGAAGGAGACCTAGACGGTGGTGAAAGAAGATATCAAACCCTAAGACCAATTATGGCGTCCTCATCTTCGCTACATTCTGCTAGATGTGCTATATAAAAGGTGCTCGTGTAGGGCTCACATGCACATCAGACAGCGATAGCCTCACGAATTTCTCGACTTCACGTTTAAATTTCAGAAACCATGTGCTAAGGCATAGTTTAAATGTAGAAGTCTTCAGTCTGTAGCTTGGGTTGTCAATAGCCAATGTTCAAATCAGTTCTCTATTTTGCCCTCTCACCATCATACATGTGCGACGCTACATAATCAGCCACTACAGAGAATCTCGCATTCGCTGCTCGGTTCTGCGCCGAGATATGTGTTGATTAAGACCGAGTTTTCGTAGACGCCGTGAGGCAGTTTGAATGCTATACAGGGAGCATGTCAACGAAAGAAAGTATGGCACGAATTATGCACCCTGTGCACCTGATTACCAACCAAAAATTGGAATTTTCGCTTTTCGAACAAGAGTAATATGATTGGAAACGTACCATCCATCACATGGATGACCGTTGCCTTTTTAGTGAATTCGATGGACTGGGTGCTAAGAATCACCGTCTTTCCGGAAAGAAGTCCATCTGCGCCCAGCAACTAAAATAAGGTAATATTTCTTCAGAAGTAATGATAGATTATGCAGAAGCATCTAACCTTTTCATACATACTCCTAGAGACCGTGGCATCCACAGCAGAGAACGGGTCATCGAGGAGGAAAATATCGCAGTCCTGGAATATTCAGAATCTGCTCAGTAGGTCTACATTCAGATACCTTACGACATGCTTCTCTTCAGGGGGGACTTTGATACCACAAGAATGATGGGTCATGGGCAAAAGTCAGATAGGTGCGGGACTCGAATCCGCACATCGTCCTTCCTGGGCGAAGGAAGCCCCGCCCGGGAAGCGTGAGGTGGGGGTCGGAGTACCTTTTCGGTCGGAGTTTGCCTAAATCATAAGTCAGCTATCTTGTGGCCACCTTTGGAGCACGAACTGCTGCGTAAAATAACAGTTACTATGAGAAAAAAACCTCGAGAAGACGTTTGATATTTCAATTCCACTGCCTCCGACAATATAGTGGATTTTACGCAGCAAAGGCAATTTTCAGCAAGTTGTTTTTCGCTATTGTTTTGCTATAAGCTAATGTCGGAAGTGAAACGACGAAGGCGACTAACCGTACCATAAAGAGATCAAAACACAGAGTGATCTATTTGACCACTTGATCGCGCGGATAAATGCGGTATATAAGCGGGCTTCAACACATCCTAGGGCATTATCCGCTGTTGCTGCCAAGGGCCAACATCGTCAGTTGTCATTCATCTACTCAATACTCTACTCCAGCAATAAACTATTTGAAGTATTCTAAGCAGCACTGCTAGCAATATCGCAATCGCAGCAATCAATCTCTGCAACCAATTTCCCTCAAGAGGTAAAAAGTTTCACTGTTTCAATAATGCAATAGCCCCCTATATTCAATATCTCTTCGATACTTCTAGAAGTGCGAGAGGACCAAGTAGCACAAAGCTCTTCTTCACTGCGTGGCCAGCGCTTGTCACGCGTGACGACTTCGAATTGTTTATAATGGGGGTATTCAAGTGATCGGCCAATGAAGGGAAATGTATAAAACACTTAAAATATCCACAGAAGAATCTGAACAGGAATTACCTGATAGAGTGCCCTCGCGAGACATATGCGAGCACGCTGACCTCCAGACAAAGCCATTCCCTATAATTTTTGGTATTCTGAACTGGCCTCTTCACTAACGATGGCACTTGACGCAAAGTACGCATGATTCTATCAATGAAAACAAACGTTTTCACCGACGATGGTGGCGTCACAACGCGGTAGGCTGAAGATGTCCTTTTTTAGTTCACATGCTCTCAACACCTGCAAAATATTTCTAAAACGCTGGTTAGTTTTGGCACAACATTGGTTTTGTCACCAGATACAGCTTTCCGAACGTGAATACAGTCCGTCATACGCTTGCACAGTTGTTTTTTTTTTTCGTTTTGTTTGGGTTTTTCACTTGATAGGGGCGTGTCGGCGAGAAGGAGCGTGCACACTGTTTGAAGCCTTCTCAGCCTTTTCGTTGAAACGCGTATGCGACAAAAAGTGATAGAAAACGAGTAACACGAAGGATATAATACAGTAATGTCACTCTCTGGTTCAACGATTGGTGCAGTACGGGTGCTGACGACCGCGCCGCACGCAGCCGCACTGACATTGACTATCAAGTGCAAGGATGACGACTGTACTTCCC